CCAGGCTGAACAGCCCCAGCGCTCTCGGGCCCTCCTCACGGCAGAGGTGCTCCAGCCCTCGGATCATTGCTGTGGTCAGGGGATCACATCAGCTGCTAGGACCCAGGAAAACTGGTCTTAGCCTGAAGCATCCTCACCTTGAAGGTTTGTAATGGTCCCTGCAGTGGAGCACAAACCTTCTCTGACCTGTCAACAAGCAAGAATTATCAGAGCTACCTGAGGTATCGGAGTTGAAGCAGACAGTGGAACCACTGCTTAAGCAGCCCATTTCCTGGCTTTTCTTGATTTTTCACCAAACCCTGAAATTGTGAAGTAACTGAACACTCTGGTAAGCCTGTGTGGGAGAGCTTAATAGAGAACGAGCTCCTGGTAGCCCTTGAAGTTGTAAAACCAGTACTTTCACAAAGACACTGGAGAAAATTGTTTGTGCCTCCTTTCAGAAAGGACTTGCCCTGGGGTGCTATCGGCACAAACACACCCCTCTCAGCCAAGATATGGGTCAGAAAGGACTCTGCGGCCAGCCATGACCAGAGCTGCTAGGTCACTCCAGTATCACTGGCCAGCTCCTCAACGGCCGGCACACACGCAGACAGCTCCCCATCTGGGCGTCTCTGCAGGGTGACGGTAAACAATGTGGGCCATGGCAAGACGTGTCAGAATGACCAGAGCAGTGCTTGGAGCACATCTGGTATTTATGAGTTCCCCCTCCTCTACCATCCTGCAAAGGTGCTTGAAACCTTTCACAGACGTAGGTGAGAATACATGACAAGACAGCAACACACAAGAGGGTGGACAGCAAAGAGTCAGGCTCTTCAGCTGCTTCTCCCTTAAAGCTCCTCTGAAGAGGACATCAGTTCCGGGAAATTCCGAAGAAGCACAAGACAACACGGAAGCAACCATCAATGCTGCTGGAAAGCTACAGCTTTTGTGGAGCAGCCAGGAGCTCCCAGGGAGGCAGGGGAAACATCATGGTTAGTCCCAGGCACCAACGTGATGCTGGGATGTGAGGTACCTCTTACTGCTTTACTGGTTATGGGACCTCCAGGGAAGGCTAATTTAGAAGACTGTGTCCCAAAACACACGGTTGTCTATCCTGAACTTGCCACAATCTTGCTTCACGCTCTCCGCCTTGCACCGCGTTCCTGTCCCCTGCACCAAGCAGGCAGGTCCCAGTGACAGCCCATAGCTCGTATGAATGACGAGCTGGTCCTGGCATTGAGCAGAACTGAAAGCAGAAACTTTTTTGCCCCCCCTCTACCTACAACTGCCAGATTAAGACAGAGTTCTGAGATCAAAAAACCTACAAATTACCTGACTGTATTAGGCTGCTTTTGAAAACAAGCTCTTAAACAGCATCTGACCCCTGAGCCCAGAAACAGCCGTTACACAGCCGCAGCCCTTGGCTTGTCTGAAGCCACGTCTTCCAGTCCAACCCTCTGCCGTGGTCCTTCTCAGTGCCACTGAGTGTTTCAAAGCGCTTGGTGTAATTGCACAACCCGCCAGCACACTCACCTGTCCTGTGCTGGAAGCTATTCCTGCTCTCCTAAAAGGCCCCAGGGAGCAGTCACCTCCTCTCCAAGAAGACATTTTTTCAGGCACGGCGTCACAAGGTCTAACACGTTGGTATCTTATTGCGCAGCTCACTGGGAACGGAGCAACTGCTGTCAGCTCATTATCAGCTCCTGGGGTGCCTGCTGGGTGCTGCACTCTTGCATTTCAAAACCAAAAGAGAGAAGAGGGGTTACAATGACAACCCAGTGTATGCTGCAAGGACAGATGTTCCTGGAAAACACTGCCATTATTCTTTAGCTCAGTCATTTATTCAGCTGCAAATTCTTCTTCACTTCTTTGTTCCCGTTTCTGCATTCCACACTGCAGAGAGCGCTTTACATTATCATGCAAGCTGACTCCTTCTAGTACTTCCTTTAATACAGGAAATTAACTGCTAACCACACCAACACTTACAATAGACCACAAAGTCAACTACCACAACGCTAACTACTCCTGAACCTGTACCCACTATTTCTACCTACAGCAGATCAGCAGCTTGCACGTGGATTGAGAAGATTCAGCCTTCTGCTGGCACACGATGATGAAAATACAACTGCCCCAGCTGCTTAAAGGGTATCGCTGGATTGAGAAGAAATACTAACCTATAGCCTAAATATTACCAAATTCAGCAAAGTGTGGGAATCCATCTTAACCCTACACTGCAGGCACCACAGTTACCCTTCACGAGGCCCCAGTTTACTGGTTTTCACCACAGCTCTCCCCAGCGAGCCCAGGACTGGCTGCAGAGACACAGTGTGACAAGGGACGGTGCGTGTAGGCTGCCCAAGGCCACTCTACAGGCCAGAGGCAGCACGGCGGGCAATGCGAAGAGCAGCGCCGGGCTCTAGAATGTAACTTTTGCAGAAAGAGGATTGTGCCAGAACCAGATAAAACTTTACTCAGAAAACAAAGGCAACTGCTGTTCACAACCCACTGTTCAGCATCACTCCTGCGTGCAGCAGTGCAGCTAGGCAGCAAGGCAGGTCACCGGCAAAGAAGCCGGCGCAGCTTTAAGAGCTGCAGCCGGAGCCGGCGGCTACGAACGAGACCTGCGGGGACAGCTGGCACTTTGCCACGGCAAAAATCCTTCAGTCAGCCACAGAACAACGCAGAGTCTCAGCTGCAGAAGTGTAGACTGGGAACGAACACACTACACTCTCCAAACTGGCAAAATCTGCATTTAATTTACAACATAGTAAAGGTTACAGGTAGAAAGCTCAACAGAAAGTGTGAAAGGCCTATTACATATTACACAAGTGTACAAACTTCTGTACAAAGCCCCTGGATGTTACACCGTCCCCTCCGGTACCGGCCAGCTACGGCCTCTAAGCTCTAAAATAATGAGAGCTTGTTCAAACTCAGGGAGGGGAAGAGCTTTAAAAATCAACGAGCAGTAAAGCTTCCCTTTTCAAGAAAAATCTTGCAAATAGCCACTTGCAAAAAAAAAAAAAACAAAAAACCACCAACAACCCAAAACCCTCAAATCCCCACCCATCCACCCCACCCCCCACAAAAAAAACCAAAATGGAAAAAAAAAGAAGAAGAAAACCTGTTCAACTTTTACTTGCCCTAACTAGTCTTACCCTAAAGAGTTGCCTTCATAAAGCAGACTGGCTGGAAGAAGAAAATTCTACATACCAGAAACAAGCAAATCTAAAACAAAGGGAGAAAGATTTTAAGAGCCAGCACGGAGTGTTTGGAAGCAGAATGTCTGAGGACTGAATCGTATTCGATAGCGACTAAACACGGAGCGGCACAGCTGTGTCATGAGGAAGGTCCTGCATTCGCCCACAGTCTGAGCTAGGTGTGACGGTGCGGGGAGGGGAACAAACCAGTCTCTAAAGCCATTGCTCTTGTAAGGGGGGTAGCTAGCAGCTCACTTTCACCTCCGTAACACGACAGAAGCAACCGCTCTGCAGATGCAGAGGTCACGCTGACTGCAGAGCCTCTGTCCAAACCAGGTCCAGCACCCAGCGCCGTCACGCAGCGCCGCTCCGGCAACCACCGCCTTCCACGGCCCTGCTGAGCCAGGGAGCTACGGGGCTGCACACAGCGAACAGCCGGGCACGCCACCGGCACCCGAGTGCACGTCTCCTGAAGGAACCCCCGAACAAAGGAATGTGACTACGCAGCCGAACTGCATTACAGAATGTGAAAAACATCCAGAGGAAAACCAAGAAAAACAGAGCTCTGGCCTTACCTTGTGTTAATACACAGTGTCTGAATAGGCATGAATTAGATTTTGAAATCTAAAATTGAGGATTTGAAGGGCTAGAGCGACAATCCAAATCAAGCTTCTCATTTTATTCAATGGGAAGAAGTGATGAAGTAGTCAAAAAATGTAGCATTATGAGACCAACTTGCGCACTGCTTTATTCAAGACGAGGCAGATCCTCTACTGAGAGCTCATACTCTAGCTTTAAGTAGCACTCAGTTCTCACCCAGTTACTAGCAGTGGGCAGATTGTGGTTTCAGTCATTAAACATGCAAGTCCTCTGATGCTGCCGACGGTTGCTCGTTTTTGCCTGTCTCTTGTTGCACCTCACATGCACTCTAAGCTCTCAAGTTCCATTTGCAAAGAAAGATGAAACTAAGTTAAAACGGCCACCAAGTTTACGAGAAACTGTTCTCCTCTGTGCTAACTCCACCTTCAGTTATCACAGCGGGGAGAGTCAATGCTACTCTGCTGATCACCGTTTGTCCACCAGCCACAGGCTCCTAGGGTTGCTCGTTCGCTGCCATCAGCACCGACACAAGCTCGGATTCACCCACGTGTACACCCTTATCCCCCCCACCGCACTCCAGCGGACAATGCTGGACCAAGCTAAGGAAGCCCACCTATTTCTCACCCATCTCAACTCCACGTTCTCATGAGCTAATGGGATGCTGTAGTGTTTTAGGTGGAAATTAAAACAAGCTGTAGCCAAACAAGACAAAACTAAAAAGATAATGCCCCACATTGGTGGGGTTTTGAAAATGTAAAAAATAAAAGCTGACCTGTATTTTGCTAGTTTTAGAACTCAAACAAATGGAATTTCTGAAAGGCCTGGCCCCACAAACATTCATCTCTGATACCGCTGACCTGCTGTGAGCAAATCCAGCAGGAACAACATTACTCATAGTAAACACGACACCTAAATACACAAATTTGTAGGGTCATGCCATAAATGATAGTTAAATTGTATGACTCTGCCCCTTCAACTTGCAGATCAAAATTCAGAGTAAAGACCTCCGGCCAGATATTTTGGTTCAAAAGGAGTTGGGAGCTGTATTTTTTTTTTTTTCCTTTTAAACAGACATATAAAAACGTTTGAAGACAGATCTTTAAAGGATATTTCACTTCTCCAATCTTGGTATTACATCTGGTTAGGACACTGAAATTTTAAAAAGACGATACCGCACATGAACAGTTTATGGAGTTCGTGACTCCCACCCTCCCTCAACAAAACCCAACTCAGATCAGCAGGGAAGGGGTCGGCTTCTTGCCCGGCCATGCCTCCTTTGCGTACTTCTTCTTCTTGGGTTCATTCACAGCTTCAGGATTAAAGACAGCAGGGTTTGGAGCCGGGTTCATGTTAACTGTCGAGGGCACAACAGGAGTCAAGTCCACATCTGGGGCAAGATTGGGGTAGGGCATTGGCAGGCCACCAATGAGCGCTGTCCCGTGGAC